TATTGACATACATTTATAAAATAATAGCTAAATAAAATGTTGAATGTAGATCTACAAACATGATGACATGCCCTCTGACCCCTCCCAGTCTCGATAGGGTTAAGTTGATTTATGTAGGGTTGTCACCAGGTTTGTTGTGTAATTCACCAGCATGAATTAAGAATCAATTGTGGGGCGGCTGTAAAAGCAGGTTTTCGTTTACAACAAAACATTACTATTGAAAATTGGTATGTTGTATATTTCGTATGTATACATATTGTGCATTATTATTAAATTTATACATAATTGTTCTAGAAAGTTTTTGTTTACACATGTTTAAAATCTTATTGCCAAGGGTTATGCTAAGTCTAGCATTCAGATTATTTCTCGTTTATAGTGTAGTTGGCTGCAATACGCAAACATAATGTATGAATATCACCTTAAGTAACATGACTAACAGACAGTTACAGTTTCAGTAGTATGAATTTCCTTTATTCACAACAGGGTAGCTACTAAGGGCCAAACTCAGTTTGTTGTACCTTTAAGGGTTGGAAGCATTGGTCTGTTATATACACACACCTTTATTGCCTGTAAGTAAGTTTGAGATCTTAGCATTATAGCTAAATGCAATACTCAGGTGTTTTCTTCCCATTCCTGTTAGCAAATATTAGGTGATTCATTCCACCATGAACAGACCAGAACTACAGTTTTTAAGCAGTTTTAGCTCTAATCATTCCACATCGGTTGAGGATAATGTTGCCTAATGGAGCTTTATTTGCATAACGATGAACTGAAGAGTTATTTACATATTGTTTATAATACCACTAATACTGATTATTCTTCAAAAGGTTTTTTCTTTTTATATCTGTAAGTACATCATTAATTTGAATAAATGTAAAATACGTATGTTTTTTGAGTGGAATTTAACATAATAGAACAGAAACAATTGACTAATAGCAAAATAATGAACACTGTGAACAGTTCAGTTTAATTAGCATTTCATCATTTTGGCTTTTTCAGAAGCTAGACATATAATCTTAAGTTATTTTGCATTCTTAGATGGCTTGATGATAAACTAAAGGGCTTATGGTGCTCAATTTAGGGGTTGATCTCTGTGGTGGGTACAGTGCAGGTAACCCATTAGGTAGCTTTGTGTTTAAAACAAACAAAAATTTATTTTGCAAACATTTGGTTTTTATGCTAAAGCATATTTTTGGAAATTAAAATGTATTTGATTGTGTTGATGAATAATGAGAACCAGAGTAATTGTAAAAATAATAATTGGATTAATGTTGAATTATTTCTTAACTTGTCTTTTATCAAAATATACATAACTCTTTTTAAAGAAATAACCTTGTGGAATACCTCAAGCACATTACAGCTGAAGTGGTAAAAATGGTGATAAATAAGAGGTCATTTATAAACATGAATGGTCAGGGTAATATAGAAGTAAGAACCATTATTTTATATCGGTGATGCTAGACGTGGTCAAGCACCAAGTATTAACATCTTATTGATATAGTGTGGCAAGAGCAGTGGTAAACTGCTAAATAATTTTAGTACCAAAAGACTTCTCTGCAAGCTTCCATAAAATTGGTATTAATTGATTATTAGATGATCATCGTGGATCCGTTTAATGGTGAAGTTTTAAAGTATTGTCTAGAAATCTGTATGTTCCGGTATGCTATATCCTCCCTTTTTTTTTCTTTTTTTCTTCAATACTAACCCTAAAGCAGATAATGCTGTTTGCTAAAAACAAATGTTTTGTTTCACTTAAAAAAGGAGTTTATTATATTTGTGATTAATATTTTCAGTTAAAAGCTGTCTTAATAAATATTTTTATGAATTATGAACAATATATTATTGTTTTACTTATTGAAGAGACCGTGTTTGTAATGCTGCAATGTAAATTTTACTTTGCTAGATGCTTGAATTATATTAGTTATTATTAACTTGATTTAATTACAACAAAAAATATTGTGCATTTTAACTTTTCCAGCACAATTCATTCTAATATATATAAATAAATTTCAGGATGTAGAATTGACATGGAACACCACCAACCCAGACTTCACAGCATGTTTTCATAAAACAGTGTTGTTGTGGATCCCATTTGGTTTTTTGTGGATAATGGCCCCATTTGAAACATATTACCTGCTTAAAAGTACAAGTCGTTTTATACCATGGACAGGAATCAATGTTTCCAAGCTTGTAAGAATTGTCTATTTCTTGTGAAAGAAAAAATTATATTAATTCTAAAGTGCATATTTTTGTGTGTGGAAATGTGTGATAATTTTAAATTTGGTTTATTTTTTGAATTTTCAGTGTAAAACTCTAGTAATTACTTTCATTATACTTAATTTTGTATTTTAGTTCATTTAGTGTACTATCTGTTTTAACTGTTATATTACATTACATGTTATTAAATTGATTATGTATATTTCTTTTAAGACTGGATAATCATTTTGTCATGCTGTCTATTTAGTAGAACATTTAATTTGTAATTTATCTTGATTTAATGTATCAGCATCTCCAAATTATCTTTTTTTTATCACTATAGACAAGTATGACCTTTCATTGCATGCAGTAAATGTAAAGATATTTCTCATTGTCACAGTTGCATCAACCTGTACTAACAATGAACAAATGAAACTATAGTGTTAACATCTTTAAAATTCATTATTATAAAAGTAACTGTAAGAAAGAGTAAACTGGGGTAACGGTTTTAGTTGGAATAACTTTACTGAAACTTGTTATACTCTTCTATTGATTATTGATATTTTAAATTTCTGTTTGTATCTTTATTACTTTTTCTTTGTGTTCATTAAGTTTAGTTTTTCTAAAGATGATTTTACAGTAGAAATTGTACAATTATACAAAATAAAGGTTCAATGAGTTCAGCAGAAAATTTTCAAAATAACATTGTCTTGTAACAGAAAACGATGTATGGAGCGGTTATTTTGTTCTGTTTGAGTCCAAAATGTGTTCAAAGTTTTAATGATTTAATACTGCTGAATACGTGAAAGGACAAATACTTTGTTTTTGATACTCTGTTATAATTTTTCAGTATTTGCCTGCTACATATTTTTAGTGTTCTAATGTTTTTCAATTATGTTATTGAAATAGGTAACTGCATCAGCTCTATCCATCCTTGCTCTTGCTGACCTCAGCTATTCAGTCCATCGCCATGTTTCCTGGGGCTGGGATGTTCCATCAGCAGATTATTATGCACCATTTATCAAACTGGTTTCATTTGTAAGTTTATGTAATTACAGGCATGTACTTACAGTTGAAAACTTTTTCTCATGCTAAGTTTATGTAATTACAGTCATGTACTTAGCACGAGAGAAAGTTTTCAATTGTAAGTTTATATAATTACAGGCATGTACTTAGCACGAGAAAAAGTTTTCAATTGTAAGTTTATGTAATTACAGCCATGTACTTAGCACGAGAAAAAGTTTTCATTTGTAAGTTTATGTAATCACACATATTGGTTTTTTTACCAGTTGGTGGTCTAGTATCTGTATTATGTCACACAGCTGTTTGTTGCAGAATAGTTGTGTAGTATATTTTATTGCAGACTGAGGTTTAGTATCAGAATTGTGGCACAGTGATTGTTTAGTGTAGTGATGTAGTATTAGTGTCTTTTTAGAACAATTCTGAATATTCAAATTGGTAAATTGTGACAGCCACAGCTGAGAGAAAGTTGTGGTGGAAGCAGCTTGTATCAGAATTTCATTTAACCTATTGTTTGGCATTTCATGGATAATGTTATGCCACAGAAAATTGATCGCTTTTGGGAAGAATATGTAACAACCCTTTCTGATAAATATTCATATATTCAAATTAAAAAAGATGTGATCAGATTAGAGATTCTTAATTTCCAAGATGGAGATATATATATCCCTTGGGATTAAATGGTATTGGAAAACAAAGGAATATTGGATCAATTTGGGGCACCAGGAAAAGAGACATGCAACAGGTTGTACTCCAACCATGATAGCAAAAGTGCACTGTCTTGTAACAGGTGACAATCTATCAACACAAAGGTCAGAGGCAAAACCCATCCATGTTGTAACCTTTAGATGTAAGAGCTTTATGAAGGAGCCTTTTTCAATGGAAGCTGTGTTGCAGAGCTGTTGTCAGGATCTACAGTTATAAAGGCTTCAAAATTATTTCAATAAAATATACTCAACCCTTTGTAGATATTATTAATATAGTAATATAATATTCTATAGTGCAGTATAATCAAATCTTGGTCAAAGTTATATGCTTTGTTACAAATGTCAGTCAGCAAACAATACATAGCATCAAAACACTTTTCCACAAAGTAAGAGTTTATTGATTGCAGTGTACTGTAGATTTGAATATACTATTTGGAAAGTATGTACATGTAAACAAGGTTTTTGTAAATATGTGAAAAATTAAGAAATACCATGACTATTTGAGGTGGTAGTTACTGTGATTAAACGACTTAGATTATGTTGCTAAAATACTTTTATTCCAGTTTCAAATGTTCAATTTTTGGCAGCCTGCAAAATGTAAAAATTGAATAGTTTATGATAATGTGATGTTGCTCATTTGGTCAGTTACATTTTTTGTCAAGGTTTTTTGCCTTGTCATAGAAATAAAAAAAAAGAAAGATAACAAAATGTCTCCATTTCTGTGAGCTCTTCTATTCTGTACGAGTACCTTAGCCCCCGCTGTGTGTTGGATATACAGATATACAATAATAGGGGCTTATTTATTACATTTTATTGTTTATTGTGAGAAACATCATCATTATGTACATGAATAAATGCTTATCTTACTTTGGATATCAGTTTAAAAGCAGTTCCAATTGAATATTTCTTCATATATATTCTGAGAGACTGTATGTAGTTTGAATAAACAAAACATTTTTGGCTTTCTGAAGATTGAGATATGTGAAACTGTAGTTTCTTCTCTAAATATTATTTCAGAGATTATTTGAACTTCCTAATAACATTATTTTAAATATGAATCTACAAGTCTTTATTATAGTCTTTGTCTAGAATGGCAAAAATCTCATGTTACATCTAAGTGTCCATATTCTGTTCCTTACTTTGAAGTATTATGAAATGTTTCTTTCAGGACAAAAGTATTATTTAACAGAGTCTTATTATTTTTCCTAAATTATATTTTAAAGTATGATAACTTTTGTTCTGTAGCTTCTTGTGATAGCATTCATTGTAGCAGGAAGGCTTCGTGGAATAATCAGTTCAGGTATATTGTTCCTGTTTTGGCTTATTCTTGTCATAGCAAGTGCTTTCACATACAGAACGGTAATTAAACAAGCACTAGATGAGGTAAGTGACATATATCCAAAATTATTTTATATTATAACATTTACTAGTAATTAAATCTAATTGTTTAACATGTTTTATAAACTAGATTTAAGCAAATGTTAAATATTTCATTACACATGTGAATCAGTAAAATTGTATTTCAGCTTGATTTTGTTTTCTGTATAATTTTTCTAATTATGTTTGTACTTTATGAAAAACATCTAACTCCAATGTTTGAATCATCGGTTAGATTTGTTTAGTTGTAATCACTTTAAGGAGTGCAAAAAATATTTTTTTATTAGTTGATATGGTCTATTTAAAAAAGTAATGAAGATATAAGTTTGAATCTATGATTTTTAGGATTATTACCTGTAGAGAAATGGTTTGTTTGGGAAATATAAAAGCAATGTCTTGAATATTTAGGTTCAGAATGATTGAAATGGTTGAGAACCTTTTTTTTTTAAAGATTACTAAAAGATAATTATTTTAGAGCACTTGTCTTCAGTTATAGGGGGCCAATTTTTAGCCCCAAAATAATCTCACAGGTTTAAAAAAGAAGTGCATAAAATTGGTGAGGATTGTTTGCCCTTCTAAACTGATTTCAAGAATGTTGTCACTTCTTGATTTTGTGTCCTTTTTTATTTTCAAACAAGAAATATTAGAAATAAATGACCTTATAACACCAAAATGTTGTTATTATTTAATTAGACACTCAATGTTTTGCTTTATAGCTTCTTCAGAAGCATTCACTGAAATAAACCAAAACTGGCAGCACAAAGTGAAATGTTGAGTGTCTAATTAAATGATAACAACATTTTGGTGTTCTAAGGTCATTTATTTTTAATATTAATATGTCTTCTATATATCGATATACAGAAATTAAATAATGAGAAATATAGTTTCTCAGTACAGTTAAATGTCGTAAGGCTCACATAAAATTCTTTGATGTTTTGTAGCTGCTTAACTCTTTCCGAGTTATTCCTGTTTGTTTTGTTTTGACACTTAAAATAATTATCCTAATTGCATTATAATATGATAGTCAATACCACTATTTCTTCATAAAGAGTAACCCAAGAGTTGTTGATGGGTGCTGTTGACGAGCTCCCTTCCTTCTAGTGTATCATTTCAAAAATAGCCCATGAGTAGCTTTGCATCAAATTTAAAATAACAAAACAAGAACTTTTTGCAGAACAAAATTAAAGTTATTTTAAATTTTGAACTTATATTACTAACATTACACAGTTTTTTATGTTGTTCCACTAAAACTGTAATTTTTACAAATTTTGAGTTGAATAAACAGAAAAATGTTTCATTTTTTTTTTTCTGTAGGAATGGTTATCCTACCTCTGTTGTATGTTCTATACATTGTTAATGTCTTACATGTATGTGAAAAAATGAAAAAACCTCGCAATCTGTGGGTTGCCAGTTTGAATCCTGTCACACCAAACATGCTCGCCCTTTCAGCTGTGGGGGCATTATAATGTGATGATCAATCCCACTATTCGTTGGTAAAAGAATAGCCCAAAAGTTGGCGGTGGGTAGTGATGACTAGCTGCCTTCCCTCTAGTCTTACACTGCTGAATTAGGGACGGCTAGTGCAGATAGCCCTTGTGTAGCTTTGCATGAAATTCATAACAAACAAACAATTCTTTCCTCAGGATACATTAGAAGATAAAAATGATTTTATATCCAATGTGTTCTACTATTTTACTTATCTTCTATCTATATATATATATATATGTATAGTTTTAATTTTTTCACTACTATTTAGCAGTTTGACCTTACATCCACTATGATGTGTTATCCATGTATTGTAGTTGACTTTTTTTTTCGTGACTTTTAACTAACGTTAACTTGGAAAAGAATGTTTAGAAAGAATGTCCAGAACAGTATTCGTCTTTCCTACCTAAGTTACTTTTCATGGTTTAGTAAGAAATTATGAATATGATTAATTATTGTCATTGTAAATTTATTAAGTCTTATATTTTCGATATTTCATTTGCATAATCTCTAGAACCTGCTAAAAGGATATCAAAAGTCTTTTTTCACTTTCTCTACACGGGCTCAGTTAAATTTACCAACTATGTCACCACTTTGTACAATTGGATTTATGATTGTTTTTCAGGACTCAGTGGAAGATAAATTTGATTTTACAATCAATATGATCTACTATCCCTTGGTTGTTGCCAGCTTCCTTCTCTCTTGTTTTGCTGATGCCAAACCGCACCATCGCCAGTTTAAACCTGTTTCTGATGAGGTCAGATCTTGAATTAATTACTATCTAACTACCTAAGTACTACTGACACAAAACTGTGAAAGGTTTTATGTTACTTTTGGATATGTCGTATAGAAGATAAATCTAATACTTTTATTAAGTTACCCCTCCTTCATTGATTTAGATATTTCTTATCCTTTTCCATGCAAAGCTGCTCAGCTAACCATGTGGCCACTATCAGAAAGATATTTTAAGTCTGGTATACATTTTTTTTCCATTCTTTATAGATATTTCATTAGTTTTAATACTTCAAACTTTGCATACTGTTATGTTAAGTTAGCTTTAGTTATTCTAGAAGATTTATTTGGAATTAATCAAAATCTAAAATTTACAAGCATAGTTAGAAAAGCCTATTTTATTACCAACCACTTTTTTGTGTGATGAATAAGCAGTAGGTGAATATGAAGAGTTAAGTGTACTTATGGTAAAAGGTTCTTCATGAAAGTTGTTTTTTTTAATACTTTTATCTGTTTTCCTTTAAAAGTATCAATTTGATGAGAAAGTCTAGAATTTTTTCATTAATATTAATAATTTCACTGTAGCTGATATAGAAATTCACATAGTGATATTTTTAAACTTGGTGATTACAGCCATATTTATAGTTGATGTGTGAATGTAAATTTTGGAGATTATTGTCCTGTTATTTTGGTTAAATGTTAGATATTAAAAACTGTAGGATGCAGATATTAGTCTTCTAAATTTAAATTAGGACCAGTATTTGAGTTGATGTTTATTTAAGATGACCATATAATATGAAACATTATTATCATTATTTTTTTTTATTTTTTTTAGAAAGAATGTCCAGAACAGTATTCATCTTTCCTATCTAGGTTACTTTTTTCATGGTTTACTAAGTAAGTATGAATATGATTAATTATTGTCATTGTAAATTTATTAAGCTGTTTCCTCTCAGTTTTGGTTCACCTTATATTTGTTGTATTAACCCTTTAACAGTGGGCTCGTGTAATTTGCAAAAATTGAGTTATGAAATTCACTTGTACAACAATACGTGTGGTAACTCTGAAATTTCTTAATGTATCTCTCAAAAACTGATAAGATTTTGCTAAAGATCATAAGTATCTTGTGTACGAATAATAACCATTTTACAATTAAGTGTTTTTACTAAAAATATGTTAATTTTCTTATGTGGTTACTTGCATTAAAACTATTAACAAATTGAGTGCAAGGTGATTTTTCATTTTATGTATAAAAATAGTTTTCCTCGTCTTATATTTTTGATATTTCATTTACATAATCTCTAGAACCTCCTTTTCATTTTCATGTCAAGATTAAAAATACTTTTTTTTCCATCTCAAAAATCTGAAGTTTCGTTTGCATAATCTCTAAAACCTTCTATATGCATTTCAGCAAAACTTTATATTTTATCT